TGTGGTCAGAGTGATGATGTAATATTTTCTCGCTTTGGTTTTTGTGATGGACGGGCCGCCACGCTTCCACTGCAGCAGGCTCTGTCCAGCCAAACCCCTCCTCAGTGAATTTAGAAGGGGGCGGAGCTCTGAAGAGGGAAGGCAGAGTTTGGGTGGGAGTGGTCTGTGAAGCTGTGGGTCGGGCCAGAGGACCCCCAGTAAACTGAGCAGGTGTCATCAGAGGAGGAGTGGGGTTACAGACAGATGCTGGAAGACAAACAGACAGACTGGCGTTAATGTAATGAACACAAAAAGGCCGAAATAAAGGCAGGACCTTCAAATCTCTATTCTGAGTGTGTGTCCCCTGAGCATCTGGATTTTTTTCTTCACACTCACATTCACAACATTACAGATGCCTCACATACGACAAAATGTAACAGTACTGCTCGTTAGCTTCTATTAAGTTATTATTTTTAATAACCCTTTAGATTTCCTCCAGTTCACTTTTAGAAGTACAAATAGTCCATGAAGTCTGAGTTCGAGTCATATAAACTGCCATTAAGACAATATACAAGAACGTAAAAGCTGTTTAAATGGTGTTAGATGAAATCTACTATATCACACTGCAGAGCTATCACTGTTTGACATGTCAACTACCCAGTAATACACAAATCAAATATACTGGATATTTTGATACAATAAATAAACAGTAATACAATGAATATTAATCGTTTGATATTTATATAAGATCACTAGCTCGTTTGTGTTTGCCTATTTTGTTTATGTCAGTCTGTATTCGGTTTATTCCGTGTTTGTTTACCTCCATCATCAGGAGCTTTCATGAAGTCCGCCGGCGCGTTCAGCTTTTCTGCTTTCCACATATCCATAATAACCACTAAGAGCCCAGTCTTACAAAAGCCGTCTTGTATAAATGTGTAAAATGTTTAAATTGTAATGTTTTGATGAATATTTCACGACATAGTTTTAGAAAGTGCGCGTCCTCCCCGACGTTGATTTCAAAGCTGCGCGTGCAGTTGTCATGGCAGAGATTTCCGGTCGCTGCGAAACACTACAGCGCCCCTTGCAGTCTCTATTGAACAACTAACTCAACACGAGTGTCAAACTCAATTCCCTAAACCTACTAATACTAGGGGGTGCATAATTTGGCAGGGTGCAAATTTCGGCACTACACCGGAGCCCTGCAAAGTTTAGATTCAACCCTAATTAAACACACCTGATCCAACTAATCAAGTCCCGCAGGCTTATTTGAAAAGTACACGGTAACGTTACAGCTGTGTCCCAAAGTTAAGTGCGCACACTTCGACTGCCAGGCCTCCGAAGTGCACGAAGGACCCTCCAAAGTGCGTGAGATGCTCCGCCTTTGCAGGATTTCCTAATTCCGCCACCAGGTGTTCCCGATTACCGTTTTGTCGCATAGCAACGGTGTGAGAGGAGAGCTGGCGAGAGGACAATCCTGCCAGGATAGGTGGAGCCAGAATTGCTCATTTTTGTTTTTATGTTTTACATCACAATGGAGGAGAAGGTGATGTACCTCAGGCTTAGCCAAGACCGAGGCCAGGTAAATTACACTGGTTTGGATGCGTCCTTAGTCGGATTACAACTTTAAATGCAGGTATTGGCTTGGAGTTTACTTGAATAATGTAATGATACATATGAAAAACTACAAAATACACACACACATAGCAGTTCAAATGCTGACTGATATCTTACAAAGATGCGATTTTATATAGTTTATTGTCTTGACCATGGTGATCATATGTAGACAGGTTTGCAACCCGGATTTTTTTAGGCAGTTAAGCATAAAAATAAAACTGAATAAAAAAAAATAGAGCATTGTACAGCTCAGTGTTCAGTGGCAGCTGTCACAGCTGAACAGTGCTCTCACACGAGTCCTTCAGATGCATCCTTTGATATAGTTAGCAACAATTTGTTAATATTCTGACAAAATGTTGTTACTTTCATTTTCAAAATAATCAGAGGTGGACTGTAAGGGAGTACATTTTCTGAATTTTATAAAGCGACGAGAATACTTTTTGTACGCGAAGAAAACAAAAATAACGACTTTATTCAACAATTTGTCTCCTCTGTCTCTCTCTGCATCACTGTAGCGCCATTTTAAAGAATATCCACTGAACGCAAGCAGCGTACGCTCTTCTGTGTCAGCAGCGACACAAGGATACGTTTTCTACATGTATTTACGCTTTGATTTGAACAAAAACAGTGCATCCGTGTGTGGCGGCTGACACAGAAGAGGGTACGCTGCTTGCGTCCAGCGGATATTCTCCAAAATGGCTCTATGGTGATGCGGAGAGACACAGAAGAGCATTAAAGGGGTCATATGTTGCTATTTCAGTTTTTCCAGAACACATACATTTTTTTAATTATAAAAAATTATAAGCTGCATTAAAGGGGTCATATGATGCGATTTAAATTTTTCCTTTCTCTTTGGAGTGTTACAAGCTCTTAGTGCATAAAGAAGATCTGTAAAGTTACAAAGACTAAAGTCTCAAATCCAAAGAGATATTCTTTATAAAAGTTAAGAGTCAGCCACACCTACCTAAAACGGCTCGTTCCAACAGGCCCCCACATACCTACGTCACTATCTGGGAAGATTTGCATAACGCCGCCCAAATGTTCACGCAAAGAAAGAAGGCGTAACTTTTATTCTCGCTGTAGTATTGTTGATGCCGCCGCCATGTCGTGAAGGCGCTGTGTGTTTCGTTGTGAAAGCAAAACCACTTTGTTTGGCCGTCCAAAAGAGGACGATATCTACTTCGTCATGCCTGGAGCTGATCCGTGCTGGTTGCTGAGGAAATACAACAACTTTGCGCTGTGGATCGCCGGATGGGCTTTCACCGTGGACGAAGCGGAGTCCAGCCCGGGGTCGTCACATGTGGTTGCCGCAAGCCTCCTTCGTTGAATCCGCCGGCCGCGCCGTTCTCAAGCCCGCCGCCTCTGCTCACTCTAGCCCTCCCTCACTCTAGCCCCCGGCCTCTGCTAATTTTTTTAACCTTAAACCGCATAAACACATTTCATTATACCAAATATACAAAATAATGTTCTTTATAGCAACATCATATGACCCCTTTAAAAAAATTTACAATCTACGACAATGTGACATTTAAAAAAAGATATTGAAAAATTGTAATGTAACATTACCCATTTTTTCCACTGCTTTCTCTTGGCCAATAGAGAATGGCTAATAAATAATGTATTTGTTAAGCATTCTCTCAAGAAGAGAAAACAGTCTCTCTGTTTTCTCCTTGCTCTCCGGTGCTCTTCTCTCCTCTGTCTCTCTCTGGAATTTTATGTCCTCCCTGAGTAGCTCCACCAGCTTCCACTCACTTTTGGTTAAAACATTTGTAGACATATCTTGCATGACAGCACTACAAAAACACAACAAAGGGAAAGACTATTGCTTTATATAGTGGTTGTCTTATTGTTTGTGGGCTTTGTGTAAAAAAAAACCTGGCTTTTAACACTTGTTCGCTAGGTATTTGAGTAAATGAAAACACAATACTTGCATCTCAATGTGAATTCCCCCACAGAACTCTCACCCCCCATGTTCTTTGAATATAAACACGGTCGTCATCTGCCTGCAAGTGATTCTGGGATATGGTAGGGTGCAAAGTGTCCATCAGATGTACACAGATGTACATTTTCCTGGGAAACGAGGGTGCATTTGACGTCAGCCTTCGAATGCGGTCTTCAGAGGGTGCATCCTGAATTGGGACAGCTTACGTCGTGACGCTATGACGCAATAGCACTTCAAATGCACACTTCAGAGTCCACGCATTTCAGTTTGGGACACAGCTCATGTGTGTTGGAGTAGGGTTGGAACAAAACTGCAGGGCTCCGGCCCTCCAGGAATTTTGTCAACTTACTGATACATTTACACTCCTACAAACTCAAATTATTTATAGTCTTTAACTTTAGGTATTGTTCCTTGCTCATCAACAGAGCTGTGTACATTTGAAATATCTAAAAATAGACAATCTGCTGAGGAGATCAGTGTGAACTTTTCTGTTTATTTCTGACACCTGCCCAGTCATTTAAAGACATAATTTTTACATCTAGAGCATCCAACACTATTCTTAAGTTCTATGTTAAAGTTATTTTTAAAACATAAATATGCTTCATATCATGTATACAAACTAACCCTTCATGTTTAGTAGAGGTTTGTTGTGCTGCATATATCCAGACCTTTTGTGCTGTTTAGCATTGATCTCTGTCATTTGTTCTGGGTGGATTTGTTTCGTCATTGATTCTTTGTGTGAATGAAGGCTTTGATTAGGCCACTGTAGAACACTGACCTTCTTGTTCATGACCCCAGAAAATATCACAGTTGCATTCATGGTTCATAGGAACAGATCATTGATGAAGCAACAGTGATTTTGTAGGACAAATGTTGTTTTTTTTATCTATGACAAATATAAAAATTTAAAAATACATTTTGAGTTCCAGTATTCTCCCATAAAGCAACTGAATCAAATTTAAAAAAATATTGTATTTTTTGTATTTTTGTAAAATGTGCAGCAGCTGATTTAAACAGCAGTGCTAAAGATCAGGAAGGTTTATTTTATATCTATATGTAAACATAGTAAATGAAACAACTGACGTCTTGTATATAGAATAAAAACATCTTGGTTTTTATGTACAGTCCAATACATTAAAATACATACACTCACACACTTTTGGAAACAAGGAGACATTGCAGGACTGGAAATCAAAATCAAAGTGGGAAAAATGACCAGCAATGTGTGAAACAAAAAAAAAGTTGCTTCCTTTCCAATCCTGAACCAAAGCTCCATGCAGA